TTATATTAAGGTTAATGACGAGATTTTAGTAATCTTTTGTCATAAAACTATTAATTAAACTACAGTGGAAGGAATGTCGAAGTGCTGTCTCTTTCTCCCTCTCCTTCTTCTCTGGCTCTGCTGTAGCCGGATTACTAGTGGTGAGTGTAAGACGTAGCTGCTTTGTTCCAGCTTTCGTCCAGCATAGATTTTGGTTCCAGGGACGAATAAGCTTGATTACCTCGAAAATAATGATAATCTAGCAGTAATTAAAATAATTGTTTTTAGCCTCGTGGCATTCACTCTATGCATGAATGCCTTTGCTGAAATAATGAACATGAAGAATGAGTAATTGTATAAAGTTTTGGTAGGATCTGTGGTAGTGCTCAAAAACAATAAATAAATTAAGTATAAATCTACATGTACATGGGGATATGTTTTACATTCTTTCTAGTATATATACTTACTTCAATAATATTGTGTTTGAGTGTGCATGTATATAAATGTACTAAATACATAAACTTTACATTCCTTATAGTACGTTATGAAGTAATACCATGTAAATTGCAATTTATAAAAGTGATGAGAGAGTGGAATAGACTAATAGTACTGACATCCTTTTTAACTTGATCTTTGCACTCTCATTCTCTCAATACACACCTGTCATTTTATTTGACTTCCTCATGTGATTATAGATTTAATATAATATCTTTTTAGGCCAGATTAATGGAACAGTCATTTTATCTCGATTTAATTCCACATCGAGTTCTTTCTCATCCGGGATAGTCAGAGTCTATTACAATGGCTGGGGTAACATCTGTAATGATGCTTACTTTAATTATGTTGACGCCGTTGTCATATGTCATCAGTTAGGATTTGATTCAGAGATTTCTTATTATGATTCTACCTCTGGGCAGAACACAATGTAAATTATTCGAATTGCTGGTATTTTATACTAATTAAATTTACTGTAGACTTTAATCTCGGCCATTATAAATTAGCCTAAATGCTTCAATGTGTACTTATTTTTCCTCATAATTTTTGAAATTGATCTACCTTACAAAATTTTATTATATGAGAGAAATATTAGGCAAATTTGTCTGTGGAAAAGTAATTGGTGAAATTTTATATTGATGATAATTACTTTTTCTTATGTTTTGCTACAACTTTTACTATGCAAAATGGGGTGAGATTATACAGTACATCTTGATAATCAATAGCTTATTATAAGTATATCCTAACTTACTTACCATCCCAAATTCTGTACTAATTGTATTTTTCTACATTTAAGTATATGCATTTTTTAACTGTTCTATTTTAATAATATTAAAAACAAAGAATAATAATAATAAATTACTAAAGTCTGTTTTTACAGATATGGTACAGATTATCTACCTACAGTATGGCAAGGCTTAGATTGTGGCGGTTATTATCTCTCTGTGTCTCAGTGCTTCTATTCCACTGAGATTGATCATCAATGCAGCTCCAATAGTCATGATGTAATAGTCCAATGTTGTAAGTCTCTAATAAATTAATAATTACCTTATAGCCCGTAATTTTTGGAGGGAGTAAATTTTGACAAAAAATTGTGTGTTTGGCTAAATTTAATTTGTCAAATATGCATGGAATGACTCAAAATGGCAGATTTATTTTGGTGAATATCTATTAAAACGCCATATTTTCCCCCTCAAGATTACAAGCTACATGTATACAATAATCATTTCAATAAGTATAATCTATTTCTTTAGCTAGCACTAAGATATGGGATAACCCATTCCTTGGAATGATACGTCTACAGGGAGGGTATTACTCTAATGAAGGTCGTGTTGAGCTATACTGTAATGGACAATGGGGAACAATATGTAACAATGGGTTTGATTCTACTGATGCCAACACACTCTGCAGGCAACTAGGATATGATACTTGTGTCTCGTATACTTCCTCTTCGTAAGTTACATGTACAATGTACCTTATAGTACTTTAATTTGGTGGAGTTTTATTTTAGCGATTGTACATTTGCAAGCAGATTTGCCAATATTAAAACCGCCAATCATTAATGCGCTTGCTCAGTAATGCATGTGTATATACGCAATAACTCGCCAATTAAAAACTGCCAATTACAATTTATAGCAAAATTCCCAAAATTAAACACCACCAAAATAAAGTGTTATATGATATTGAGTTAGTGGTTGATTGCTATTTTTGGTATTTTAGTCGTTATAATCTGAGTCAGCCAGTGTGGAGTAATGATATGTACAGTGTTTCAGGGACTGGTTGTTTTGGTGATACTAATGCTTGCCCACTTCAGTCAATATCTAACTGCTCGTCTCAAATCAGTCTTATATGTGGTTAGTTGTGCCTCCTAATTTATTATATATTTAATGTGTAATATGTGACTATAATTGACAAAAGGTACATGTACCTTATGGTGGATAATCAAATTCATTTTTATAGCAGAAAAATCCGACTTTTCTGTGCTCGATTGATAAAAAAATTTTTGCACAGGTGCAAAAATTTACTATATAACTTCTGCAAACAATTATTTTCTAAAAAAACACACAGGTTGATATTTTTCCATTATAATGCTGAATTTAATAATCTGCCAAATGGTACCTTTTGTCAATTATAATCACAATTTATTTTTATATACTATATTACTCTAATACTTGTCCTCTCATTGTAAAATTATTTGTCCTCACTTTGTATTTCTATTATTATTGTAGGTGAGAGTTCACTCTCTATTAAATATGCTGCGACGAAAAGCGTTTGTTCTCAAGTTATGCTGAATAGTAAGTAATTATAATAATAATAGTGGTAGCTAAATGTCATGATGTATTAGTAATATTAGTTTAATGTACACATAATAGCAATAGCTATGTTAAAAATTTTATAGTAACAAGATTGTAATAATACCTTTTTGTGTTGTTTGCAAGTTGAATTGTGATCATTAAAATTAAGGAAGGTTTTTTCTCTTTATTATCAAAGATAAGTTGCTTACTTCACTGGTACTGTTCCGTAACAATGTCACGTCAACTTTGTTCACTTCTGGCATCATTAGAATCTATGGTTCTTCCTGGGGTAATATCTGCTATGACTACAGC